AAATTTTTCAAACTTATAATAATCTGTGTGCCAAAAAACCTCTGTCTCTCAACAGTTACCTCAATACGAGTGGAACTCCTATTATGTCAGCCATTCCCGAGAAAGAGCATGACTCTAATAAAAAGTCAAATAAAAAGTCTGTCGTTAAGACTGAGAGCAAGGATGTGCCCAAAATAGAGCCCAAACTCCAAATGAAGTGTTATGTGTGCGGCAACAGTGATGGACAGGTACTCACTCCCTGTGCTTGCCGTGCGGCCAAAGCCGTGCACTTTGAGTGCATTCGCGACACAATTGTTAACGAAAGCCAATCCATGATATGCCGGTCCTGTCAGACACCATACGCCGGCTTAACTCCAGTGTATGAACGCAAAAGGATTCGCCGATTTCTACGCAAATATGTGGTCATTAAGGCCTACCGTTTCATAGGACTGCCGAACAAACGCTACGAAAACGACGCCCAAAACGATGACTTCTTGGTTTGGTACCTAAGCAATCTGATAATGAAGACCTCCGATAAGTATCAGATACGGTAGTAGAGTTGGTAACCATATTACCAAATATCCGTCAAAGGGCTGAAGGATTTAAATCGTTACAACCAAACCAATAGATTTATTATCGACGTAGAAATGTAGCCTTTTATACCGTATATTAGACATAGGGTTCAGATTTATTGTAATTTAAATGTTAAAATTGTTTATAAGATTAAAATAAATATGTATTTCGTATAAAAATGTAATCTCATAGTTTTCTATAATATTAGTAGTTTATGAATTAAATGAATGAAAACGGGACGAGTATATCGACGATACGACAGCTTTTATAACTCCAAATATATTGAGTCGGATATCAAGCACATTTTGGACAATTAATAAAAATACCACCTGTCCTACTCTGTACTACTGTACCACTCTTTGTACTAAATAGCAATCAAATTGCATGAACTTATAAATTAATAAAAATAATTTATATATTTTTATATGGCTATGGTACAAGTTTATTTATTATGAACTTACAAATTAGTATTTTATATAAGCATTCAATAGTCACTATATTATGGATATTCTGCCACAGAATCACCAGAATTACAGAATTGGTGTAAATGTTGGACATTGAGTGCCATCTATTGAGTGGCAAAAGTGGATCATTGATTCAAATGTTGTGAAGACATGTGATTCAAGCATTTGCCACAAAATAAGCCGAAATGTCACTGAAGTCTGAGGTAAACATGTTGTCCAACACCTGATCACTCATATGTCTTATGCCATGGATTGTGTCCAAACAGGTGGTCATCTCCAGTGACCTCAACGCTGAGTTGCATTCAGTTTGTGTCTCAGACTTGGTTTCCGGCAATACTTTAACCACTTTTAAAAGTGTCGGATGTGTTGAACGCCATTGTCTTGACTTAGTTAAGGACCAACTGATGATCAGTTCCGTGAAGGAGTCGCCCGTCATTAATGTGTGGTCTTTTGAGCGCAAAGATCAGTTGCATCTGAAGATAATTTGTCCCAATAAAGTGACTGCACTTAAGACCACAAATGATGGCAAGTATTGTGTGGTTGCCATCAATACCAGTCTTTACATTTGGCAGGTCTGTAGCCATCCATCCATTGTCTCATTGCATACACATTCATATGACTGTATTGTGAACGCAGACATCTTCGGGAGAACTGATGGCTATACTGGAGAAACACTACCAGAAGATCACGTGTATAGCCATCACAAGCGACGACTCGTTGATAGTGAGCGGCGGTGACGACGGCTTAGCCTTCGTGTGGTCTTTGGGTCACAGCATTGGTTACAACGAGTTTGACGTGAATGACAGCATTTCCAGCCAAAGAGAGCCCCTTTTCAAGTGGTCCGACCACACGATGGCCATCACTGATGTGCACATAGGGTTGGGAGGCATTGAAGCCTATTGTATGACGTGCTCTACTGACCAAACATGTCGAGTGAGTCTTCACGCCATACATGCTATACATGCCATCCCTTTCATGAATAATTGATGAGATTTTTATATACAAAACTGCTTTTTGTTGTGTTTGTATCAGATCTACGAATTGGTTTCTGGAGTTTTAATGATTACCATTGTTTTCGATACTCCTCTTTGGGCCGTAGCCATGGATTCGACGCAAAGCCATCTGTTTGTTGGCGGACACGACTCCAACATATATGAGACCAAACTCTATGAAAAACCTTCAAATTGTTCGCAAAAGCAGAATAAACCACAATTCATTGGACACGAGTTTGTCATTTGATAATTAAAGCAATTAATTACAGGTTTTAATTGAATTCAATATTTGATGGTTAGATCTGCGGTCACTTGTCTTGCGGTATCGATGGACGGAATGGCACTCATCTCGGGTTCAAATGATAATACAATTAAGATTTGGCACATAAATAGCAAACAATGCATGAAAACTGTTACAAATAAAGGTACAGCATTACCTTACAATACAAAATTGCCTAGGTTAAATGACAAATTGACTAAAAGGTGATTTAATGTTGATTAGGACCCATTTCCAATCTACTGGTCACTCCCTTTCCCTCTGCTTTGTTCGACCAAAAGTCGCCGAATATTGTGATAAAACCATTCAAAAGGACAATAATTAATGACATATATAATGAGGATCCGGACAATTCGTATTGCATTGAAATTATAAACGATAGGTGCCTAACAAATAGTCTCGAGTTTATGAAAGGCTTAGATCTGAATGATGATACCGGCGCTGCAAACGTAAGCACCGATCGATTATTTAAATTTGATTACATTATCTCTATAAATACTTATGAATTGATTTAATATTTTACCGTAAATGTCAAAAAGTGAAACTTTATTTACAAATAATTACAGGATTTCGACATTTTTTCAGCCAATGATGAGAACGAAGACATTAGGAGAGAGTTGAGTGAATTAAAAGAAGTTAATTCCCAGTTATATAACTATTCCGTTGATGCCATATTCAAAACAATTCCCTGAGCGCACAGGTATGTACTCATTGCGCTTAAGCTGGTGTTCATTGAGGCGTTTGTTTGGCTCGTGTAGTCCAACATTAGTATACATTGAGTTCGTTAACACTTTCATCAATTGATTGTTAACCAAAAAAAGTTACAAAAGTATTGTTAAACTCGGGTTACGTTTTGAGTGTTGTTGTTGTGATAACCATTGACTGACGATTCGGGACGTACTTTGAGTTTATTATAGCTTTTAATAAAATATTTATAAAAAAATGAATAAAACAATAAATATCTTTATATTAATTAAATATTTTTCATTAAAAAATACTTACGAAACGAATGCGACGACTGCGACAACAATGAAACAGACGGCGCCGATTGCGGTCAGGGCTGCGATGAGACCTACTTTCCAGACGGGCAATGAATCTTCGGATTTGTTGTGTTGATCCGCTGTTTTACAGACACTCTTACCGTTGCATTCAGTGATAGTAGGCATAGGATTGCACGCAAAGTATGAGTTCTCACGAGCCGTCAAAACACACATTGAATTCTCGATTCTCTCACTCAATGGCTCTTTCTTGAGATATTGTTTATACACTTTTGGTTCATCGGAATCGTATTCCACACCCGAAACGCAAAGTATGAGTTCTCACGAGCCGTCAAAACACACATTGAATTCTCGATTCTCTCACTCAATGGCTCTTTCTTGAGATATTGTTTATACACTTTTGGTTCATCGGAATCGTATTCCACACCCGATGTAAGGTTTACGAGCGCACCCTTACTTCGTCTACCCCTTGGTTTCGAGCCGCAGTCCACTTCTCCCGACCCAAAACATATCAATTTAATGTTTTTACAGATAATCTGTTCATCGAAAACACATTTCAAAGGCTCTTCATGTGAGCCCTTTTCCAAATCGACGGCACTTTCGGTTACGGATGATATGGCAGTGATCGTCGAGTTATGATTTGGGGATTCATTTAAATGTTGTGTCACTTGTGTGGATGTCTCGTATTCAGGCATTTCTGTCAAATCGGTTGCATTTATCTCGTAGGGTGTTGTCGTGTAATTGAAATCCATGTCTGATGTGGTGTTCACTAATAAGTCTATTTCAGTGCCATTCAAATAATCAGGCGTCTCGTCGTTGATTGACACCATTGAGCCATTTGTGGTGACATT